GGTATCAGACACATAATTCTCATTCCTCTGATGGTGCTTTCTTTTGAATTGAGGCCTAGAAGCATGCTCTTTAGACACTTCTGTTTTTACAAATTGCATATCTGAAGACATTGGCTCTAGCTCTGACTTCACTTCTAGCTGAATTATCTTGGATATGTTACTTAAAATATCAGGTTTCACTTTCCTCATCAATAAAACAGAGTTAGATGAAGTATTCTGTTAAGCACATCCAGCATGTGTGTTTGTGGTTGATATCCTATCTATCTATTCTAAACTTTCTCCTCAGACTCTTTGACAGATTGCTTTTTATTGCTGGTTATTAAATGGAACTTTTGCCCATTACTTAAAAATTGCTTGTCCTAGTATGCCTGTGATTTTTGGTTCCTGAATTTGCCACCATCATATCAAGGTCTGTCATGTTTCTCATTGGAATAGTCACCCAGACCAGAAGGTCAGGGACTTCAGGGATGGTGCTGTTTATCACATTTCTTTAGAAAGAATGTTCAGTGGCAAGGTTAAGTTTTGGAGAAAAATAGCCAAACTCACACCTAACTTTGTCTTTCTCATATGGAACAAATGATTAAGGAATATCACATTTGTCTTAAACAGATGTCACCAGTAAGATGACCTTCTCTTGGTGCCATCCAGGCTTCAGTGCTGCTGTGGATCCTTAGCCAGTATTGATACACTGACATCATCTTGTTCTAATGGTACCTATGGTACAAACATTAGACAAACACCTGTTTTTTCAGAGTTCCTATCGGAATTGTGAGACTTTTCATCTGTCATTCATGAGCACCACAATATTAAATGCAAACTTCTCAGGAATTACCATTTTATTMATTTAGCAAATATTCACCATGTACTTATAGAATTCTGAGAAGTTGCATTGATGTGAACAAATTCCTATAATGGGGCAGCTTATATTCTAATGGAGTAAGTGAAACAAGAAGTAGTAAAATAATGTGACATGTTAGTGATAAGAACTGTGAAGAAAAATAAGGCAAGTGATGGGGTTAGGAAGGGCACATGTATTTGGGGGAGGGAATTCCATATTACATGGGGAGTTCAGGACTTGGTGAGCCTCTGACATTTGAGCATCAACTTAAAGAAGATGAGGTGGCACATCTGGAGATATCTGAGGAGAACCATCTAGTTTCTAGGAAAAAGAACAACAAGTGGTAGCACTTAAGGATCGAGGATTTGTCTGTGTTCTAGCTGTAGCMGGAGCTGAGCAAACAGGAGCTGAGGTGAAGACAGCCATGGGGCTGAGTTTTATAGAGACTTGTAGGTTATTATTAGGACTTGCTTAAGAAGCCACTGGAGTAATGTGGTTTGAGCGTGTTTAGCTTTCCTCTAACTTCATTCGACCCTTCAGTTTTTCTTTCTGCTCCTGTACATACTGGTGTCCTCCAGAAGGCCTGGAACCCKTTCCACTCCAAGTGCTTGATGGAAAAGGTCTCCCCTGATCCCTGCTTCTTCACATAGGACTTTCTCCATTCCCACCCTTGAGGCCACCACTTCTCTCTGGCCCTTAAAGCAGGCAGCTTTATGCTGCCAYGTCTCATGTAACCTTCCTGATTCTGAAGCAGCTCTAGGCTGCTGAGAAAAGCCTTTCCTCCTGAAGGCTCTAGCTGTCCTGTTCCCCTACACCATGCCCCTTCTTTCACTGTCATCTAGTTGCATTCTAGTTATTCTCCAACATTGATTGAAGATAATTTTCACCTGGGCCTTCCCATCACAAAAGAATTGCTGGCACCAACCATTGAGAAATTCCAGGCTGCCGTTTGAAGTCCTAATCCTGTAGGTCCTTGATCTCGGTTTCTGTGACAGTTTTCCCTTGACTTGATTCAGCAAGCTGTGTTCTCAACCATAGGTTGGACCTCATTTTTCTTCAGGGATCATCCATCTCTTTGAAGTTTCAAACTCTAAACAGTGTGGAATGAATGAATACCTCTAAACAGTATGAAGGGCAGTTTCCAACCTCATGCCTATATTCCCATATTCTCACCCTCCCAATATAATTTTCGTGGCCTCAGGGTCTGGACCCTGAGGCCTAGAAGGATGGGCCTGGGTCTTCAGTACCAGAGGGAGTCAGGRACTACGTACAGTGCATGCATAATGGAGCCAGACACCATTGTTCAAACCCCATTTCTTCCATTCCTAACTGCACAACACTGGACATGCTCTCAGCTTTTCTGAGCCTCACCTTTGAAATGTGAATGAAAAGGTRTAACTCAGGTCCATGTGAGGAATAAATGACTTAATGCAAATGAAATGCTTGGTACAGTGCTTACCYATAAAGGGAATCCAGTTAAAGACTGACCTTTTTTGTGAGGAGTTAAGGTTCTATAGGATATGCTGTTCTATGGACTGGTCTCAAATATTTCTTCTTGTTTCAAGTAGGAACTTAGACTTATGAGAAGCTAATAYCCTGGTATTTCCACACAGTGAAGGAATCTACCTGGCCCTTCTCTTCACCTCTACTCTGGCCTCTCAAGGCCTACCAGGATAGGGCTGGGCCAGGAGGAAGGCAGTGGGAAGSCTCCCGAGGCCATAGTCATTCTGCTCTTGCTTGGGTTAATTGTACAGGGAATATACAGGTACCTGTTCTTCTTTTGCATATACATAACTTATTTCTGGAAAGTAGTACAGAAGAAGTTGTTTAAGGATCATTTAGAATGTCACAGCCTTTTATTTTCACATGTTCCTCATGAAAAGAGAAGGAAAGAATGGTGCTTCTCACGGCAGCATGCCAGGTTTCTTTATGAGGCTGGGCAGGAATGTGCGGCTGCCTTTCTCACCAGCCTTGCCTCMTTTCTGCAGTTCTCTATGTTATGTTTTGTTTTGTTGTTCTTCCATCTCACTGAATCCTCTAGCCAGGCACCTAGGTGAGGAAAACCACTGCTGATGGGGTGAGGGGTGAGGGTAGTTCAAAAGCCTTGTAGAAAGGTAGAGATCCAAAATACAAGAAATGGCTTTTTTWAAGTGTGTGCTATAAAATTAAATGCAATTGTGAAAATAACTATTGAAACCAAAGATATATAGCATAGTTCATATAAGAACGTGCAGAAAGCAAAGGAAATCCCAAGAGAGCTTTAAAAAATCCAGCTTGAGATGTATTTATGAAAGAAAGAGAAGACAAACTGTTTATCAAAGCAAATGCATATTATTTTAAAATTGTATTTAGAGGGTGTTGAAAATAGACACATCACACGTAAGCCAAAATAATTTAAAAGTAAAAATGATGAAGCAAAGCGTTCCATGAGCTAGCAGTTTTACTTCTGGATACATTCCAGTGGAATGGTCACTAAAAAGAATGTACTTGAATGTTCACAGCATACATTCCATGTAATCCCCAAATAGAAACTGTTTAAAGGACTGTGGTAAGTAGAATGGATAGAAAGTAAATTGTAAAATACTCACATGATGGAMTATTTAACAACAATGAAAATTAATGTTTGCATTCAGTAATCATGTTTTGCATGACCCTCACAATCAGAATGTTGAACTAAAGAGGTTCTCCATGAATGAGCCCTTACTGTGTGATTCCATTTTTATAAAGGTAAAACAGAACCAGCAAAACCAGTCTCCTGGCTGGAAGCCAGGGTGGAGTTTCTCTGGAGAAGTCTGTAGTTTTGACTAAAAGGGAACATGATGGGGATCGGGATGAGTTGGTGGGGCTGTGGTGAAGCTTAGGTTTTGATCTGGCTCAGGTCATATAGGCTATCCCCTTGATTTGTGTACTTTTCTTTAAATATACTTTATTTTAGAAAAAGTTTAATAAGTAGTAAGACTCTGTATCAAAACAAATATTAAAAAGGGTTGGGAACATAGCTCAGTGGTAGAGCATCCCTGAGTTCAATCCCCAGTACTAGAGAAATATTAAAAGTAAGAAGAGGGAAACATTATCAGAAATGCTGGGTAACTACTAGAAAATGCTTAAAGACTTTAGCATACTGCTTCAGGCTTTAGGCTTAGTTATAAAAAGCATTTTTCATAATGTAACTAAGTCATAATAATGCATGTTGATACTAAACCTTACGATGGACGCACATACACATACATACAAGATAAATTTTTGTTGATCTAGTGTTACACCAAGAAGAAATCCTCACATTCCCAAAGCAGGAGTTGTGCACATCTTGTGTAATATTAATTTTAAACCACTGCAACAATTAACCAGGTGGAATACCTCTTAAATAACTATTCGACCAGTTATTCAATTAATACTACAAAGACAGAATATAATCTTTTTATAAAGTAAAAGAGAGAAAAACAAATGCATTATGCATAGATGTATGCCCAGGTGTTTGGTGCTATTGAGTGGAAACAATGACAAACTCATAGTCTTAAACTATTTTATTATATGAAAAACATGAAAATAAGTTGATTATAATTCAGTTTGATTAAAAGAGAATAAAACAAGCCTAAGGAAAGCAGGAGGAAGGTAGTAATAAGAGTAAAAGCAGCAAAAAAAAAAAATAATTGGAAAAGAAAAAGGAAATCAGAGCTGATGAATAAGTATAAGTACTTACTCCGTGAAAGGACAAAGGTAACAATGCAGCATAGTCAGAAAGGAAAGATTATTAGTTTTTCCAACTGAATGGTTTGAGTTCAGGTGGCTTGAATTTTCAAACTTCTTAGGAACCTTTTGTTGGATCCACGAGCCTGAGTCCTGGGTGTAACCTGCCTCTACCAAGTACTTGCCTAACCRTTTGACACTGGCCATACCAATTGAGTGGGAGTGAGTGAATGAACCAGTGAATGCTTACTTACATGCATTAATGCTTTGGCTCTCTCAGAGGGGAGCATAAGACTTAAGTTAGGTACTACATGAAGTTCTTAGCATGGGGCCTGTTAAATAATGAGCCTTCAGATAACAGTGTTATCATTACCAAATGTTTTATAGAAAATGGGAATCTGTGAGTAATCTTTGTATGTATATTTATTTATTTATTTATGTATGTATGTATGTATGTATGTATGTATGTTTTTAGGATATCCTGACCCAGAAAATTTTTCCTGGCCAGAATATCTGCAGACTACCCAAACTAATGCAGTTCCTGCCAAAGTTTTTAAAATGGTAAGTCTATATAGGTATACACTCTTACCTTTAAACAAAATTCTGTTGAGTCCTCCTTTGTGTAGGATTTTAAAATTATTCTAGATTTTTCTTTATAAATTCAAGTTGTGTTTTTTATAACCAATTTGTTTTGCTTTTCTTAAAGTTAAGAATACAAAGTAAGTAAAGTAAACAAGCAGGGTCATTTGCTATCATTCCTATATACAAATGCAGGTGATGATTTTCTTTTTGAAAAAAGCATAGTGCGGCACATCAGTGGCACTGCTGACAGCACCTCAGCAGGGGTGGAGGTGTGGAAGCTCTCAGTGCATGAGCTTGCATGTCCCTTTCTCAGGGACTGTTTGAATGGCAATGGCCATAATCAAGTAGGTGAACCATCATCTTTGTGCATACTTTTATCCACTTTTGAGAGGAACATTCCTTTAAGCATTTTTTTTAGAATACTGATTTTTACAGTTAAAACTTATTTTAATGTACTTTTCCAGGGTTGAACTAAGTATAGATAAATTTTTAAAAGAAAACACATAGATAGAAATAGTATAATCAGAAATATTTATGTTCCAAATCAGTGATTTTTAAATTGTTCCTTTCTCATTCTAATTGTGGGCTTCAGGCTCCTCAACTTGTCTTAAATCAGAATTTTATGTGTAGGGTTTATTCATGTGATTTCATTTCCTAGAGTTTTCTAGGTATTAAAAGGGGTTAAAACAAAAATCCTTTTTCATCTAAAAAAATTGGTCGTAATAGTCTAGATTTGATGGTGAAGTATAATAAGATTAGGGAAACCATAGCTAAAGTCCTACAGAGGTTTTATGAATTGCAGAATTTCAAAGAGCAAGTACTGGTAGTTTCTGTTTTGTCTTTTTTCAAATCTTTGTTTTACTTCTTGAACAGGAGAACTATAAGAAAACAAGGAAAAATTTCACTAAAAAGACRAATTTCAGACTCTGTCTTTCACAAGGTTGTTGTGGATTCTGCTCAAGAATGTCTCTTTGGCATCTGTAATACTAAACAATTACCTTTGTTGTTCAGAATAGTGACCTTGGCAAGAACAAATTTCAGAGACCTGATAATACTCAGTATATTCCATTTAATAGATGTAATAATGCATTCTAAGAAGAAAATATGCTTCTGAAAAAGCTGAAAACATACCAGATACTGGAGAAAAATTTAACTATTTATTAATCATGTATCAGTAGAAGTTTTTTTTTTATTGCCAATTCTGGATTTGAGGAGTTCAGTACACTTTCATTTCCAATAAAATCAATTGAACACTTTTATGTGTAATAGCATTCAAAGAAAAACTTTCCACTAATGTCTCAAAACTGTCAGATTTGTTTTGTGACTTTGATTTCTGTTGCAGGGAYGGGGAGGGGATTTAACCTAGGTGTGCTTGACCACTGAGGCACATACTGAGCCCTTTTACTTTTTTTTTAATTGTGAGACAGGGTTTCACTAAATTGCTTACAGCCTTACAAAGTTGCGGGGTCTGGCCGTGAACTTGCAATCCTCTTGCCTCACCTTCCAGAGCTGCTGAGATTACAAGCATGTGTCACTGTGCCCAGTGTGACTCTGATTTTGACTGTTGAAATTCCTTAGTTTGAATGATTTGGCATGTCCCAGTACCTTTCCCCTTCTGTTTTCTTTATTGCCTGTGTGTCTGTCACCATGAACTCTTGGTTTCTAGCATTTTAAAGACTTGAAAGAAACTTCAACCAAGTTCAACTCTGTAGTGTTATGAGATGAAGTGACAAAAAGCATAGATATGGCTTAAAATTATATCATGGTATACTGAAAAGATTTAACAGTTGAAATTATGTAGCTTTTAACTAAGTATATTTTAAAATTTAGATTTATGAAGAATCATGTTTTTTTTTTTTTTTGTATTTGTATATAAGGGGAAAAAAAACCTGATGGTGGAGAGTTGTGAATTACATGAAAACTAAGGAGAGATCAGTAGAGTATCTAGAAGGGGCTTGAGGAAAGGGAGGAGAGGGATAGGAAATGGGAGAAACAGTGCGATGAAATTGACCAAATGATCCTATGTACATATGTGAAAATACCACAGTGAATTTCACCTCATGTATATCTATAAAGCACTAATTTAAWAAATATTACAAATAAATAGAAGGAAGACCAGTAGAATAGAGGAAAGGGAACAGGGAATGTGAGGAGGAGAGGGTTAGGAGAGTACTGGGAACTAAATTGGTGAGAATTATATTCCATGTTTGCATAATTAAGTCAGAATGAACCCCAATATTATGTGTAATTATAATGCRCTAATTTTAAAAAATCGTTTTGAACTTCGTTGTGAAAATTAATGAATTTATAATTTATTCTATCTTTGTCTTTTAGCTATCTTTAAAGTGGCCCAAAATTCTCTCACAGGCTTTGTGACTCTAGTTAAAAAATATGCATAAAATCCTATGTGTTCTGTAAACTAAATGCCAGTTGTATTAAAAATATGCTTGTTAAAACTGAAGTATTGTATTCAAAATTAATAGAAAATTAATAGAAAATCTGAATTGCTGAATTTTCCACAACTTGTTRCACTTGTATTTTTTTCAGAGGTTGCCCCATGGTTTTTTGCCAAATATGAAACTTGAAGTTGTGGATAAACGAAACCCCCGGTTAATTCGTGTTGCAACAATTATAGAAGTTGATGACCAAAGAGTAAAGGTGCACATTTTAAATTATTATGTTATTTTGGTCCTTTTTTCATGTGCTTTCTGTTTTCCCCTTCCTCAGTTTTTAATTCTCCTGCATGATAGTTTTCTGGGGAGAAAAACCTTCTGGACCTGATCTGGAAGATTGACTGTGGCCAGGATGTGACTGGGACTAACACAGGAGGCAGTGTAACCTGCAGGAGGATACCTGCAGAGGCTTTGATTTTTTAGTGCAGGAGGAAAATAAATCTGTGTATAGCTTCCTATCCATTCACATGTCTTTGAGTGGAAAAATGTCTAGCTTATCTGTATGTATGTGAAGTGGGAAATCTATAGAGAAGACTTCACTGACATGGAAAGGAATTCTAGTACATTTCTGTTTGGATTTGCTGTTTAGATTTTCACTGTCAGGTGTTCTTCTTTTTTTTTTTTAAATCATTTTGTTGGCATTACTTGATTTTTCTTGAAATTGTTATGAAACACCTTGAAATAATTATCTTTCTTTTCTGCTTTTCTTTGTGAAATTAAATACAATTTAAAAACACTTTAATCACCCTATCTAAAAGAAGTTTTGAATTAAATATTTGATTAATAGATTTCTATACTGTCCATATTGATGACATTTTAAATATACACATTTTCAAAATGAAATTTTCATAAAATTAAAGCTTTTCATCTTTTTTATACAGGGAACTGAAAGCATCTGTGGAATTCATTAAATCTTTATGAATTAAATCATATGAACAGCATATGACAGTTCAAAAACAATTTTCTACCTGTACAGTTTATTTTCATAATAGCAAAAAGATTGAAGTCAACTAATTTTAATATGTATTATATTAAAATATGTATTTGTTTGATGTACATTTTRATATAAAAGAAATTTTATTTATTATATCCTAATTTGAAAACAATATTAATTCATTTTATACTATATAATCGGTACATACATTTTGGCCAAGGTTTAGAGGCACATGCCTATCAATAGCACAAATGGGCAATGTCCTTTATTCTTCTAACAAGCGAAAATAATAATTATATTCAGGAATTATAGATATATTTCCTTCCATACTACCTTATTATTAATATTTTAAATTTAATGTTAAGCATATTGCTTATGATCTTAATAATTTGTGTTTTTATTGTTTACTTTTATGGTAAATACTTCGGAAATAACTTTGGATATGATAATTGCCTTGTAAATTCAATCACATTTTGTCATTAGCTTTAATTTAAACATTATTGCCTTTCTAGGTAAAGCTCAATTTTAACAGCATATTAAATTTTACCTTGGTGTGTAATTGACAGAAAATTTTCTTATTATTCATAAGATACACGCTGTAGAATCCAATGGATAATTTGTCATCAGTTTAGTATGTGAACAAATTGGATTAATATGTTACCTTAAAATATCATTTGAAGAAACTTTTGCTCCAAAAGTGAATTTCTTATCATCCTTATATACCATCTCAGCTTTGCTCTTTTAAAATCTCTTAAGCATTTAGCTGATCCTTCCAAAGAAATAGTTCATGTATCTTTTTCTTATTCTTTTTCTTCATGRTAACTGCATTGTTCTTTATTGGAAGAAAAAGAGTTTAAAAGTATCTGGCACTTCTGAAAGAACCAGAACCTTAATAGTTATCTCTGCGGTGTGGGAAAATCAGAAATTCCTGTAGGATTTTAGGGCTAAATTAAGACACAGTTTTGCAAGTGGCACTCTCTACCCTGTGAAATGGTGTCTTACAAAATTTTTTTCTACTTAGCATGCAGTCTGCCGGACTTAGATCAGCCTTGCAGTGACCATCAATATCTTGGGCTTGTGGTCTGCTTGAGGCCTGGCACACACAGTCCTGCTCCTGCAGCCCATTTCTGCAGATCTTGCCACAGACCCTCTGCTGACCATCCCCCTCACCCTCTGTTGCACAGTCCCAAGGTTGGGAAAACACTTGTCTTGCTTCATGAGCTAGAAGGGAGAAGGCTGCCTAAGGGTTGGGCATCTTGGGAACTTAAAGGAGAGTCAGGTGATAGCTTAAAATTCCAATTAATAGTTCCTAGGGAAATAGGGCTTCGAAGGTGAGCATCAGATTTTTCTCTGAATTCTTATGTAAGGAGGTTGAGGTGTAGTAAATGAGGCTTTCTTTGATAGTTGAGAAAGCATTTGGAGCTTTCTGATGTCCTTTTTGCCCAGCATAATGCTCTATTCCTCAATTAATGTGTTGAACACATCATTCTGTAATTTTCTTTTCTTTCTTTTTTTTTACTGTTTCTCTTTTTTTAAAGAATTTGTTCTAATTAGCTATATATGACAGTAGAATGCATTTTGAAACATTATATACAAATGGAGCACAACTTCTCCTTCCTCTGGCTGAACATGGTGCAAAGTCACACTGGTAGTGTAATCATACATAAATATAGGGTTAAAATGTCCATCTCATTCCATTGTCCTTCCCATCTACACGTCTCCTYCTTTCCCCTCCCTTACTCCCCTCTGCACTATCTAGAGTTCCTTCATTCTCTCCCCACTCCATTATGGATTAGCATCTACTTATGGAGAAAAATTGAAAGCATTCCCCCTAAAAACCGGAAGAAGACAGAGATGCCCTCTTTCACTACTTATTTTCAACATAGTCTTTGAAAATCTAGCCAGAGCAATCAGACAGAAGAAGAAATTAAAGGAATACAGATAGGAAAAGAAATCCAAACTATCACTCTTTGTTAACGACATGATTCTCTATTTAGAAGATCCAAAAAACTCCATCTGAAAACTTCTAGAGCTAGTTAGTAAATGAATTCAGCAAAGTAACAGGATATAAAATTAGTACCCATAAAAATGCATTTCTCTACATCAGTGATGAATCCCCTGCAAGAAGAATTAGGAAAACTATGCCATTCACAATAGCCTCAAAAAAAAAAAAAAAAAAAACACTTGGGAATCATTCTGTAATTTTCTAAAATCAATATCCATCAAAGACTGTTTAATATTTGGATAATGAATGAAGGGATGTGTGAGTAAAGAAGTGGATGAATCAAATGTACTTTGGCATTTGGACAATTATTCGAACATAGATAAACTGTGTGTTAATAATAAACCACTTTCCCTTTTTCTTAATTCCTATCTTAATTACTCTTCTTTTGGAAATCCAGTTCAACAAAATGGACTGGGAAGTGCCCCTGGATTGGACAGATCTGGGTTGGACTCCTAGCTTTGACTTTTACTTAACCGTGAGATTAACTTGATGGAGTTACTCAATGTACTTCAACTTTTCTTGTCTGTAGTTTGATGGGTTAATAATATCCAACTCATAGGCATGTTGTGAAAATTCAGTGAGGTGTCATATGTAAGATTCCTGGGAATGTTCCTGATTCTACAGGTGCTTTGGTGGTAGCTGTTGTGTTCAGTGTGAATTCAGGGTGCCTGTGAATATCCCGTGCTGCTCGCCAGGCTGTGTGTACAATTGTGTTATTAAAGGGGCCTCATGGAAGTATAGAGGATAAGCCCAAGCTCCTGGGTGAAGAGGACAGGGTTTGACTGGAGTTCCCTGGGGAATCTGAACATGACCCTCTGTGATGGTGCTGCTCACCTCTGACTGCAAGGAGTCAGACTATCCTAAAGAGACCACAACAGTCAGACAATAATCAGGATGATGGCTCTTTGTGCATGTCAGACACTGTTCTGAGCACCCTGCATGTCCTCTCAGCACAACCATGTGAGAGAAAGTCCTGTGGTTATACCCACTTTATGAAGAAAGAAACTAAAGCCCAGAGAGGCCAAATTACTGGTCCCAGGCTGCTATCTTATGGGACCAGGGTTTGACACCCAGCTTTCAAATAGAGGTTTTCATCTCGAGAGCTTATAACCTTTCTATTCCTTACTCATATGKTCTAATTTTTATTTATGCTAAATAAGTCCCTTTAGAAAGAGAGAGCAGATGTTGTGGGATGGAAAGTGGAAACCACTTATGTTCTTATTTTTATGTTCTAATTACTCTTATGTTCTAATTTTATTATGTTCTACCCTTATGTTCTAATTTTTCTTAATATTTTAAATTCTTTTCTTCTTACTTGTAATGTTCTATTTTTTATGCTAAATAACTCCCTTTAGAAGGGGAGAGCAGATGTGTGGAATGGAGAGTGGAGACCACCCGTGACCCCAGTATGCTTTGTCATCTGTGCCTAAGCTCATACTGCCTGTCCTGTCTGGAGGTACCTGGGCACTCCTGGCATTCCCTGGCAGAGTGCAGCCAGTTCACTCTGCAAGTGTGTAGCTGCCCTTATGTGCTTTGTTAGTTTGATTTTTATAAAATAGTTTTTTTGAGGTAGCATTTACACATCATAAAATTTAACTATTGATTATATTCCATAGCTGTACAACCATTACCACTAAGCTTAGAACATTTTCATCACCCCAAATCAAAACCTTAGTGGTCATTACTCATTCTACTATTCCCTTCTTCTGCCCAAGCTCCTGGTAATCACAGATTAGTGGATCTGCCTGTCCTTGGGCATTTCATAAACATAGAATCCTATAATGTGTGACTTTTGTGATGCCTTCTTTCATTTGACATATTGTTTTCAAGGTTTATTCACATGGATAAACTTCATGTACTTCATTTGTTCTACATTCCATTTTATTTCCAAATAATATTCCCTTGTGWAGCAATTCCATATTTTATTTTTCCACTCATCAGTTGATATTTGTTATTTCTACTTTGTGCTATCTTGAATAAAGCTCCTGTGAGCATCTGTGGACATGTGCTTTCATGTCTCTTGAGTATATTCATCAGAATGGAAATGCAGGATCATAGGATAGCTCTATGTTTGGCATTCTGAGAAACTTCCACTATGTTTTCTGAAGTGGCTGCACCATTTTACATTCCCACAGGCAGTACTTGAGGATTCCAGTCAGTTCACATCTTTAAGAACCCTTGTTATTTCTTTTTTATCATTTTAGTTAYATATTTTTACCCATCCTAGTGTGTCTTAAGCTCTTTAGGTCCCAAAGTATAGATTATT